AAATAGTATTACCCTAATATAAGGGATACCCGGGCTGCAATTATTTCACTTAGTAGAAGCTAATGAAGAATTAGTGACACCTTGTGGTTTCATCAGACGAAGCAGGCAGGAATTCAGACTTTCTGGGTCAAGGCTTCTACATGGAGGCCTGACAAAAACCTCATGTGCTTAACTGCTTCTTATGTCACAAGGTTTCTATTAGGCGTTACCTTCTCAGGCCTTAATTGAAGGCAGCCACTCATGCCCACCCCCCTAACCACCACAAAGATTTTGTGTAGTCTAAGCTTTTATCATTTCACAAAAAATTTCTTTTTTCCTTTCCTTCTTTGGTTTATTTGCCTATTATCTACTTCCCTAGATAGGACAAAAGCTTTATCTATCCCAAGCTCTTACAGTATTTCTCAGTACAAGGAAGGTGCTTAGTGTGTGTTAAATAATGAACTATCGTAAGTGCTCCCTTGCATTCTCTTGCAGATATGGTTTGGATCTGTGTCCCCACCCAAATCTCATGCCAAAGGGTAATTCCCATTGTTGGAGGTGGGCCTGGTGGGAGGTGATTGGATCATGGAGGTGTTTTTCGTGAATGGTTTAGTGTCGTCCACTTGATACCATCCTCAGGATAGTGAGTGAGTTCTTGCAAGACCTGGTGAGTTTTGTTGTTGTTTGAGGCATCTCACTCTGTTGCCCAGGCTGGAGTACAGTGGTGTGATCTCGGCTCACTGCCACCTCTGCCTCCCGGGTTCAAGTGATTCTCCTGCCTCAGCCTCCCGAGTAGCTGGGATTATAGGCACGTGCCACCATGCCCAGCTAACTTTTGTATTTTAGTAGAGACAAGGTTTTACCATGTTAGCCAGGCTGGTTTCGGACTCCTGACCTCAAAGGATCTGCCCGCCTTGGCCTCCCAAAGTGCTGGGAGTACACACATGAGCTACCAAGCCTAGCCAAGATCTGGTTGTTCAAAAGCATGCAGCACCTCCCCTTCTCCCTCTTGCTCCTGCTCCTGCCATGTAAGACACCTCACCCCCCCTTTGCCCTCCACCATGATTAGAAGCTTCCTGAGACCTCCCCAGAAACAGATGCTGCCATACTTCCTGTACAGTCTACAGAACCAGGAGCCAATAAAACTGCTTTTCTTTGTAAGTTACCCAGCCTTGGGTCTTTCTTTATAGCAATATGATAACAGACTAATACATTTACCTATACTAAAAAACATTTCCAAAGCCATAGCCATACACTCACCTTTTTCACACTTAAACGGAAAACAGGCTGCTGCTTCTCTTCTTGGATAAATTGTATACCCCTGCTATTCATTCACTCAAAAACTATTATGACCAAACATTACGTGATATGGTAGAGCTACAAATACAAATGGAACATGATCCCTCCCCTCAAGGAGCTCATGGCCTAGTGGAAACAAACAGGCTAGCGAATCATTATAAAAACCATGTGGCAAGTAAAAGATGAGTTGTGGCTGCAGACTATATGAACCCAAGTTAGAATAATCAGAAACGCCTTCCTGCAGGAAAAAAACAGGAGCTTAGGTTTAAAAGAGGAGAAGAAAGAAAATCCAGGAAAGAGACAAGGAAAAAGCATAAAGAACAAACGCATTGTGGAAACATGATAGCTTGTGTGGTGGGACTGCAAGCGCTCAGCTCTGCTGAGAAAAGAGTACCAGGCAGAAATTAGTGAGATGCCAGGTAGTGGCAGCCTTATAGCATAGTTAGGCAGCTTTGACCTAACGCATTAGGCAGTGGGTTGTGGAACAAGCATGGTCAAAGCTGCATTTCTGTTCAATTGTTTTATGGTTCCAGAGATGATCCAGTTTAGATTATGGGGTTGGAATGCTGAGGTCTACGGCTGGTAGGACTAGGAAGGAGACAAAGAGGAGGATCCAGAATCAAAAAACACTGAGGAAGTAAAATGGGCAGGATTTGGTGATTATTAGGATAGGGAGAATAAGGGGAGGGGGAACAAGCAAAAGGGGCGCGAAATGAGGAATTTGGGAGTGGGAAGATGAGCATCATAAGCTGAAGCTTTCTTGCTTAGTAAGTTCTAGAGTCCAGCAGTCAAGGGCTTAAGTCTTGGTCCTGTCACTTGCTTGCTATATGACTTTGGTAAGTTACTCTAACTTCTCTAAATTTCAGTTCCTTGTAAATTAAATGAGAATACTATCAGAATCTACCTCATTGTTAGACTGAGACTGTTATAATAACTAAAGGAAATCATGTATGTAAAGTGCTTAGCATAGTGCCTGCTACACATCAGAAACACCTATTGATTAAAGAATTTTAAAATGGCCAGGTACGGTGGCTCATGCCTGTAATCCCAGCACTTTGGGAGGCCAAGGCGGGCGGATCACAAGGTCAAAAGATCGAGACCATCCTGGCTAACACAGTGAAACCCCGTCTCAAAAAAAAAGAATTTTAAAATCATTATCTGACTATGTCTGTGGCCATATATCTACCTTTTCTATTCTTACTATGGATGAACTGCCATGTTTCTAGGCAAGACCAATCCCTCTACTTGTACACAAGAGCCTGTCCCTTTTTGCCAACGTCATTCCACCAATTCTTCCCTCCCTCCCACACCATCCATTCCATCCTCTCTCCTGAATCACTTCTATAAACATATACACATACTGTCAATTCTCCCATTAACATATATTAAACTTTTCTTGACTCAGTTTCCCTTTAACTACCAACCCATTTCTTTTTTCTTTCCTGAGTCATAAATTGCTCTTCTCCTACTCTTTTCAGGATCCATTGTCCCTGAACTTTTTCTTCTATAGCTTTATAAAAGTTGCCTTTTTGCAGTTGCTGATGACTTCTATGTTGCTAGAGCCCCATGTTGCGTGGCACGTGTACAGCATTAGATGGAGCTGACTGCTCCTTTCTCCATTGGAGAAATGCTTCCATTACTTAACTCCCAGGTGACCAGACTTCCTGCATTTTCTACCATTTCTTTGGCCTCTTTTGCACTCTCCTTTGCTGATTATTCCTCATCTTTCAAAACTCCAAAATATTGGAATGCTTCAGGCCTTATCTCCCTACACTCCCTCGGTAATCCTATCAAGTATCGTGGCTGTTGACCCAAAAATCCACTTCTCTAAACCAGACCAGTCTCCTGAAACTCTAGACTCTGTGTCCTGTCGTCTACTCAACATCGCCACTTGGATGACTAACATGCCTTCTAAGCTTAAAGTGCCCCAGACCAAACTGCTAATGCTCACCCCAATAATGGCTCCTCCCCAGCATTCCCTATATCACTAAACAGCAACTCCATTCTTCTAGGTACTCTGGTCAACAACCTTATCATGACCCTCTAGCTATAAATGAATAGTTTAAATTAAACCAGTCCTCTCATGGGAATAAGTATAATAGCTGAACATTTAAAAAAGCACACATAACAAAACCTACACAGGCCATTTGAAGGCACTGGAGAGCAACCAAGATGGTCAGGACATGAGAGACTGGGATCCCAAAGAGAAGACAGATACATAAAGTGATACAGAACTCCATTGCTTTCTCTTATCGGGGCATTTGCTGAGTTTTGTGTAGGGCATTATGGCAAGCAGAAAGCAGTGGCCTAGAGGTATCAGGAACCTTTCAGATATGGGGAGATAAATAATTGGAGGCGAACACTGCTGATAGGACTTGAAGGGACAAGATCCCAAAGAAAGGAGGATCATAGAAAAGCCAGTCTGACATTTTGCTCGGTTTTTATTCTTGAGGTATTTGCTGAATTCTAAGCTATAAAGGCACTGGAAATCAAGAAACCAAAGAGTTGCTAAATAGCTGAAATGCTAAGTGTATATTCCAGCAGTCTCACAGCACTGGGAGTATAAAATTTGGAGTTCAAGGTCACCCAAAGATGGAAACCTATTAAATACCCCGGATGTTCATGTTGAGAAAGAATAGAAAGGCCTTGTTCTGGGATAAGACCAAACCAGAAAATAATCAGCCCTCACAAAATCTGAAACCCTGATTAAAGGTCATCTGCTGCTACTCTAATTGCTTGCCAGAATAAAATTAAATCCTTTCTGCAGAAAGACAACATCAGCCACAGTCTCTATGCAGTTTTTTGTTTGTTTTTCTTCGGCCAGAGCTTCTGTGTGATTTTTTTGCCTGCACAATGTCCAATACACTGTCATTTAGTTATTATAACAATTCCAGTCTAACAATGAGGTAGATTCTGATCAGAAACCTTAGGGGCATCTCTTATGCCTTTCTTTCTCTTGTGCACCATGTCACATCCAATCTGTTCTACCTTCAAAACGGAGCTGGGATCTAACCACTTCACACCACTTTGAGCCCAGATCCAAGCCACTGTCACCAGCCTTACTGGGAGCAGCCTCCTAGCTGGTCTCTCTGCTTCTGCCTTTGCCCCACTTCATTCTATTCTCAACCAAGCAACTAGAAAAAAAATTTTTTGATCAAACTATGTCAAGCTTCTACTCAAAACCCTTCAGGGACTTTTAACCCTAGAGTAAAACCTAAAGTCCTTGCACTGGCCTACAAGGCACACAGCCCAACCCCTGACTTAACCTCCGAATGCTCTTCCTTGTACTCACTCTGCTCCACTCACTCTTACTCCCATCCCTAACATGTCTTCTTGCCTTAGAACCCTGCAATGGCTGCTTCCTTGACCTGGAAGTCTGTGCCAATTAGTCTCAAGTTTCATTTCTTTACCTCCTTCATGTCTTTACTCAAATGTCACCTTCTCAATGAAGCCTCCTCTGACCACTATAAAATTGCTAGGTCTCCTACGCCCCCAGCACCTAGCCCTCTTTCCTGCTTTATTTTTCTCCTTAGTTATTACAATTATCTAACATACATAATATACTCACTTCTCTTGTGTGTATGACTCCTCCACTAGCATATAAATTCTGCGAAGGCAGGAGTTTTAACCTGTTGTTTGGTTTTGTTTTTCACTGCTATATCCTCACTAACACCAGGGGAGTGGGACAAAAAAAGAACAGTGGTTGGCACATACTAGATACTCATAACTATTTATTGAATGAATCATTCAGTTTCTGATCATCCAAGAGTTGTCCAGAAAACAGTCAGATATCCAGGGCTGTCACCTGAGGGAGAAGTCTAGGTTAGAGATACATACTTTGCTGTCCTGAGTATATAAATGGTACTAGAAATCACAGCTGTGAAATGGGACAGCCCTGGGAGAAAGGAGAATAAGAGAAACAGGCTGTGGACAAAAACTTGTACAAGAACCTATAGTGGCTATCAATTTCTTTATAAAGTTCACTGTGGTTGGTATAACACTATTGGTTACCCATTCCATAGCCGTTCTATTCGGCCCCGACATCCTTCTAACAGAATTTGTTCTTCCCCTCCCTGGCCAAGTGTTTACTGGAGGTCCATAAAGACGGGTTACCTGGTCTAATCCAAATATGGTGATCTGATATAGAGCCTAAGCTTAAATCAATGATATGATGTAATCCTGGTCACTGGGAGTTTACAAGGGGGCTTTGCTCTTCCAATAGACAAAAGAGAAGATACTTCTATTACTACCTTGTCAAAACCAACAACCCAGGTGACAGAGTGGAAAGGTGGGGGAAAAATGTGCTGTTGATAATGTGCTGAGCCCCCCCCAAGTTAACCAACGTCCAGGTTAACCAACCTGGGAGTGTGAAATAATGAATTCCTTATTATTTTAGCCACCTGGAATTGGTTTTCTGTTACTTAAAAAACATTCTAATTAATATGCTACTGTTTAGTGTTTCCATGATGTAGTGCCAGCCTTTGTTTCTGTTGATATTTCTACAACTCATCTTTACAAACCCTGCTTAGTTCTCCAAATACACCTTGGGCTTTTTGAGCCTTTGATCAAGCCATTCCGAATGCACTTCCCCCAAGAGGCTGGCCAGTTAACATTCTATCATCCATCAAACACAATTTAAATGTCACTTTCTCCTCTGGCCCCTTCAGAAGTTACCTCAAGGCCAGGTGCTCACGCCTGTAATCCCAGCACTTTGGGAGGCCAAGGTGGGTGGATCAGGAGGTCAAAAGATCGACCATCCTAGTCACATGGTGAAACCCCGTCTCTAGTAAAAATAGAAAAATTAGCTGGGCATGGTGGCGCATGCCTGCAGTCCCAGCTACTCAGGAGGCTGAGACAGGAGAACTGCTTGACAGAGGTTGCTGTGAGACAAGATTGCACCACTGCACTCCAGCCTGGGTGACAGAGCGAAAATAAGAACAGGAAGAAAGGAAGGAGGAAAGGAGGGAGGGAGGGAGGGAGGGAAGGAAGGAAGGAGGGGAGGGGAAAGGAAAGGAAAAAAAAAAAAGAAATTACCTCAAAATTAACTGATCAGACCTAAAATCTTCTGGCAGTGTTTTTACCTCTAGAATTTACCATACACCTTTACGTTAGTGTTACATACAGAATGCCTATATCTGCTTGAGGACATACACTTCAAAGCAGAGAACAGATATAGATCTTAACATAAAGGCTTACCATTTACGAGGCACAGCTCTAAGTATTAACGGTTTTAATCCTCAAGACAAAACCTGAAGAGAGAAATTCTTCTATTTCCACTACGTGGATTCGGAAAATGAAGCACAGAAGCATTTAACTTGCCTGAGGTTACAGAGCTAGTACATGATAGAACCTGGATTCAAATCAAGACAGTTATTAGCTACATTTAAGGTGTAACTGCAAATGCAAATAACTCATCACAAGGGATACACACACTCATACAAGATACAAGATTTTTAACACTGCTGGTAAGAAAGCCAAAGCGTCTGCGTTTTTAAGTGCAGCCCCGCCCAGCGATACTACATTTATTCTTCAGAGCCTGGGGCCTGATAGATTAAGGCACCGGGGAACTATGCCTTTATATTTTTTCAAAACTCAATAAATTGCCCACTTCTTTCCCAAAATGAGGTGTCTGTCGGGGCGGCCCTTGTCGCTCCGTGTGTCAAGGGTCCTCCGATTGCTAGCACACAGCGGTGAGCAGAGGGCAAGAAAGGAACTGCACAGACTCGGCTGCGGAGGGCGGCGGCGGCCCGCCCCTGGGGCGGGAAAAGCGGAGGTGCCAGGAGACACCTGGAAGCCCTTCCCCGCCCGGCCACATCACAGAGCTGGAAGCCCGGCTGACAGAGACGTGTCATCGCTGGGCCAGCCTGGGAGCGCTGCGGCGCGGCGGCAGGAGAAACAGCAGAGGACGCCCTGGAAGAGAAGGAGCACGTGGGCCTGAGAGAATGGCGCCAACACCAGCCCTGCAAAGTCACATTCCAAAGCGGGGCCGGTGACAGCCACCGTGGCCCCGCAGGCCTCAGAGAAGACGGTCAAGCCAGCCAAGGCCGCCACCCTGGCCAGGGAGCTCCCAACGCGCAGGCGCACCTGCCGGGGAGGTGCAGCTGGGCGGAGTCAAGAGCCGGAAGTGTCTAGCGCCGCAGTCCATACCGGGAAACCAGCGGACCGGAACTCCCCGGAGTTCCCGCCCCCAGACAGAACCCGGGGTTACTGGGCAACCGATGCGGCCACTGCAGCTGATCTCTGGCTTGCTGGGAACGAGCCCGGTGTAGCTCCCACCTCCTGCACTGGTAACCTCCCGTCCCGCCCACCTCCCTTATTGTCGCCTCTCCTCGCGTCGCGGAATCCTTGCCCTTGGCACTACTTGCATCTCTCCGGGTCCCACGACACCTTAGCGCCCACCTGCTTCAAAGCCAAGCTCCACCGAAAGCGAGGTGTTCTGCCCCCGGACATGGCCTTGGCGCTGACTGACAGCACCTCTCGGGCCCCGAGCACCTACACCTACACCAGCCGGCCTCGGGCACTGCCCTGCCAGCGCCGCCGTTACCGGGACAGCCTGACGCAGCCGTGAGTGTCCAAGCCAGCCCCTGTGTGATCCCTATTTGCACCCATCCCCGGGCCAGAGTCTGGCTCCTTCGCCCTGGCAAAGCCTGCTCATGCTGTCTTTCCTTGGCCTCACTCTGCCGAAATAAACGTTTTGCCCTAAGGAATCTCCCGTGGTGTGGAGGAGTAAAGCAAGAAAGGGCACGGGTTGGGCATCAGTTAACTTTTAGTGTTCCTGAGTTGCTGCCATGGTCCTTAAGATGTACACGAATCGGCTTATTTAACAAAATTTGACTTGTGTGTATTGAGGGCCAACTATGTGCTAGGCACCTTGCTGGGGGCATTCAAATACGTTTTTTTACTTAATCCACAGTGCTGTGAAGTTGGTTTTACAACTTCGTTATGCACATGAGGAAACTGCGGCGCAAAAATACCCAACAATAGCACATCCAAAATGGGAGCCGAGGAAATCTCTTCTACAGGCTTTGAGCAGGAATAAGATTATTCTTGCATGCAGGACCATAGACTCTGTGTGTGTGTGTGTGTGTGTGTGTTTTGGTGGTGGTGGTGGTGGTGCTGGTGGTGATGTTGTTTTAAGATGGGGTTTCCCTCTTTTCTCCCAGGCTGGACTGCAGTGAAGCAATCTCCACTCACTGCAACCTCCGCCTCCCAGATTGAAATTATTCTCCTACCTCAGCCTCGATTCTCCTGTCTCAGCCTCCCGAGTAGCCGGGACTATAAGCACATGCCACCACACCCTGCTAATTTTTGTATGTTTAGTAGAGACGGGGTTTCGCCACGTTGGCCAGGCTGGTCTCAAACTCCTAGCCTCAAGTGATCCTCCCACCTCGGCCTCCCAGAGTGCTGGGATTACAAGCGTGAACCCCCACACCCGGCCAGCAGATTGTATTTTTACATGGATGAAGAGTTGCAAATATTCAAACATATTTAGGGGGGAAAAGAAACCCATAAACTCTTAAAGTTCTCTTAAAGTTAAATGGTTCTCTAAAGTTCTTTCCATAAGCCTCAAATGCTGAATTCAGCAGAACTTGATAGGAATGCAAGCTCCATGGATGTAGCAACCTTTGCATCCAGAGCAGCTGGGATTATAGGCGGACACCACTAGGCCCGGCTAATTTTGTGGGGTTTCATCATGTTGGCCAGGCTGGAAAATTTTATTAACATTTTAGGCAGTAACTTTAAAAATATATTTAGGTTTAAAGAACAATGAGAAAATTGACTTAATTCTTAAGCCTGATTCTTCTATTATTGTAACTTTTCAGTCTTTGTACAAGCTTTTTCAGTCCTTTAAAGAAGGCCCCTTTTCAAATGGGCCATTTTCATATTTATTGAAGTCATGTAGATTTACAACCTAAATCTGGCTCTGCCACTTATTAGCAAGGTAACCTTGGGCAGAGTCCTGAGTCTGTTTCCCCTTCTGAAAAAGGAATATAATTCCCAACTTGCAGCTTATTGTGAATAATAAATAAAATAAAGTACATGTATTTTCATCTTAGTTTAGATCCTGTTGAAAATAAGTTACTTCATAGATACCAATACTCTGTTAAAGTGGCTATACAGAATTTTCTGTTTTACAGAGATGAAGAACCTATGCATTATGGAAACATAATGTATGACAGAAGGGTAATACGAGGCAACACTTACGCACTCCAGACCGGGCCACTGGTAAGTTCAGTTTGAATAGTCTAACACTGCGTTTTCACATTGTCTGTGGCAATGTGAAACAAACAAGATCAGTTTGTTTCTTTGTTTGTGTTAATTTCTAATCCATTGCAGACTAAAACATTCATAAAATAAAGATGAATTACTACAAAAATGAAATTTAAAAAAAAAATACAAATAGAGCCTGATGACAGTTTCCAGGAGCTGAGGGGTGAGGGGGACAGGGAAGGAGTTATCGTTTAATGAGTGTAGAGTTTCAGTTTTGCAAGGTGAAAAGAGTTCCAGAGATAAGAGGATGGTGATAGTTATAGAACAATGTGAATGTAATTAATGCCACTGAATTTTATACTTAAAAATGGTTAAGGTGATAATTTTTACATTGTATATATTTTACCAAAAAAAAAAAAAAAAGAATTAACTAGGCTAGGTGCAGTAGCTCATGCCTGTAATACCAGCACTTTGGGAGGCTAAGGTGGGTGGATCACCTGAGGTCAGGAGTTCAAGTCCAGACTGGCAGCCAACATGGTGAAATCCCGTCTCTACTGAAAATACAAAAATTAGCTGGGCTTGGTGGTGGGCACCTGTAGTCCCAGCCATTTGGGAGGCTGGGGCTAGAGAATCACTGGAACCTGGGAAGCAGACACTGCAGTGAGCTGAGATCGTGCCACTGCACTCCAACCTGGGCGACAGAGCAATACTCCATCTCAAAATAAATCACAAAAATAATTTAAGAAAGAACTAAGAAAAAGCCTCAATTTTTCATTAGATTCAACAAAACTCTGCCATTCTAAACTTTTACTCTCAATTTCTATACTTAAATTGTTACAGACCATTTCAAATAGTTCACTGATACACTAGCCAGAGGCCCACATTTTGAGAAGCACTGGTCTAATCCATCTAGATTTGTTTAGATCATCCCATAATCTAATACAACTATTATTATTTAATCAAAAAGTCTGAATTCTGCTCCTATAATTCACTCAACAATTATTTATTGAGTTTTAGGTCCTGTTCTGCGTATCTAGGATGCAGAGATGAGTAAGACATGGTATGATATTAAGGGTGGTGAGTTCTTGGCACAGAAATGAAATACAGATGAATTTATAAACAGTATTATGATATCTAAGTGCCTAATACAAGATGGTGATAGAGATGCTCCTCTATTTACAATGAGGTTATATCCCAATAAACCCACTGAACATTGAAAATGTATTTAAAACACCAAACCTGCTGAACACCATAGCATAGCATAATCTGCCTTAAATGTGCTCAGAGGCCAGGAGTGGCGGCTCACGCCTGTAATCCCAGCACTTTGGGAGGCCGAGGCAGGCAGACTGCTTAAACCCAGGAGCTTGAGACCAGCCTGTGCAACATGATAAAACCCTGTCTCTACAAAAAATAAAAATAAAAACCCACAAAAATTAACTGGGCGTGGTGGCATGCACCTGTAATCCCAGCTACTTGGAAGGCTGAAACAGAAGAATTGATTGAGCCCAGGAGGACAAGGCTGCAGTGAGCTGTGGTCACACCACTGCACTCCAGCCTGGGTGACAGAGGGAGATCCTGTCTCAAAAAACAAAACCAAAAATACAACCTAGAATGTTAAGGAATTGAGGGAAGTTCAATGTGTCAGAATTGGAGCCTGAGGCAGGGAGTATCAAGAAATAAGTGATTAAAAAGAAAGTAAAGATGAGTAATAGCATTCAAATCCACATTAGAGAGAAAGTTGTTAAATGTTTAATGAGGGATGTGAAGAAGCCACCTAAGGAATGTTTTCAGAACGAGACCCTGTCTCAAAAAAAAAAAAAAGTGGCCGGGTGCGGTGGCTCAAGCCTGTAATCCCAGCACTTTGGGAGGCCGAGGCGGGTGGATCACGAAGTCAAGAGATTGAGACCATCCTTATCAACATGGTGAAACCCCGTCTCTACTAAAAATACAAAAAATTAGCTGGGCATGGTGGTGCGTGCCTGTAATCCCAGCTACTCAGGAGGCTGAGGCAGGAGAATTGCCTGAACCCAGGAGGCGGAGGTTGCGGTGAGCCGAGATCGTGCCATTGCACTCCAGCCTGGTTGACAAGAGCGAAACTCCATCTCAAAAAAAAAAAAGTGCTCAGAACATTTATATTAGCCTACAATTGGGAAAAATCATCTAACACAAAGCCTATTTTATAATAAAGTATTGACTATCTCATATAATTTATTAAATATGAAAGTGAAAACATAATGGTTGTATGAGCACATTTTCTGTGGATACTTTTCATCATCATAAAGCTGAAAAATTATAAAAAATATGTTGGGGAACATCTATTAGACTTGTTGCAGGATGAACCACAGACAAAACCCCTCAGACACCGGAGTAAGGAAACAAGTGACTTTATTCGGCTATGGAACCTCAGCAGACTTACGTCCCAAAAACCGAGCTCCTTTCAGTTCTAGAAGTTTTCTTTCCCTTTTTATGGGCTTCTAACTCTAAAGGGACAGTGAAACCGTGTTATAGCCCATTGGCTGGGCATTGATCTCACAGTCTTTGTCTTTCATTGATTCATATTTGGTGCACACAGGAAGGAAGAAAGGGAAGGGGTTACAACAAACTTGGAGAAGTTAAACAAAGGTAGCCAATCATTCTGTGATAGAATCACCTTAAAGTGGGGAGTGGATTGGGCGAGCACGGAGTATGTGACTAAAGGCAGGTTCTTGTGCAACCATGGCAGGAAAGAACATTTCTTTGTTACATTCTTAAGGTTTACGGATAACATAGGCACCAGTTTCAGAAGAGGGAGTTATCTTTCTTAACTCTCAGGCCCCACTGGGGCAGAGCCAGTGAGGCCAGCTGGCTGCCTGACTGCTGACTTAAGCTCTTTACTATTTTATCTTTTGCTCCCTTCCCTAGCAAACAACAGGTAGGAGAGTAATGGCTTCTCACCTTAGTCTGAAGCAATGGTTAACTTATTAAACATATATATATGCTTCAACCCTATCCTGGATCTCCTGCGTTAGAACCTCCAGGGGTTCTAACTGCTTCCCCCACTGAGATGATATCAGCAAGGATGGAGCAGGAAGCTGAACTTTCACCTTCACCCACCAGCAATGAGGTAGTAGGAGATGGCACAAGTCAGTGCCCCACTCTTTCTGGGGTGGTGTCAGCAAACCCAGTGGGTAGCTGAATTGCAGTCCTATCTGGCGGTAATGAGGTGGCATGAGGCAGTGCTAGTCAGTGCTGCACTCCCACCACCCCAACACCAGTGTCAGCAGAGCCTAGCAAGAAGCTGAACTACCACCCCCACCTGGCACCAATGTGTTGGTACAAGTTTACCCACTGCTTTTGTTGAAATGGTATCAGTGGGGCCCAGCAGGGATTTGAACTTCCAGCCCCACAGACTCGTGCACTAAAACAAAAAGGGCAATTTCCTACTGAAAGATTATATAGAATCCAAAGTCTTACAATATAATACCTAAAATAGCCAGGATACACACAGAAATCATTCATCATACAAGAATCAACTTGTATGTAACATGCAGTTACAACTTGCATGGGAAAAGACAATCAAGAAATGACAAAACCAGGATGATTCAGATGTGGGAATTACCTGAGGAGGATTTTAAAGCAACAATCAAAAATGTTTCAATGAAAAGTGAATAATTACAGACACCCTTGAAACAAATGAAAAAAAAAATCTTAGCAAAGAAATACAAGATACAAAAGTGAACCACATGGAAACTTCTAGAACTGAAAAATACAATAACCAAAATAAAAAACTCACTAGATTGGATGCAGTAGTACACTGGAGATGACACAGGAAATAATCAATGAACTTGAAGAAAAATCAATGAAGAATGGAAGTTATCCAGCTGAACAGAGAGAAAATAGACCACCACAACTCCCACACAGAAAAAGAGCCTGAGAGAGCTGAAGAACAATCACAAAGATTTATATTCATGTTGTTGGAATCCTAGAAGGAGAGGAGGAAAAGTATGAGGTGGAAAAATATTTGAAGAAATTGTGCTTTAAAATTCCACAAATTTGTCAAAAGGCCTACAGATTGAAAAAGCCAAGCGACCTACAACAGGATAACCCCAAAGAAATCTACCCAAGACATGCCAAGATCAAACTTTTGAAAATTAAAAACAAAACATTTTGAAATCAGCCAGAGAGAAATTACTTGTTAGCTAAGGGAGAACACTGATTTAAATGGCAGTGGGTTTCTTAACCTCAAACATGGAGACAAGAAAGTGGCACAATATTTTTCAAGTCCTTAAGGGAAAGAACTATCAAGATCTAATTCTAATTCAGTGAAAATATTTTTCAGTAGTTTTAAAATGGCAGCATAGAGGCAGGCTGGCTTCACTCCCCATACAACAGAAAACCAAGAACAAATGTATAGTGCCAAAATTATCATCAGCAATATTCTAGAGCTCAAGTAGAAGGAGGAGGCAGTTCCCAGGGCTACAGAAAAGTGAAAAAGCTCCAAAGAGATGGTAGGAGAATCAGACTTTCATATCTACAACACCTCTCCTAGTCTACCTGGCACTAAGGACATGGAGGATTGTATTAGTCCTCTAGAAGGACAGAACTAATGAAATAGATAAATATGTATAAAGGGGAGTTTATTGAGTATTAAATCACATAACCACAAGGTCCCACAATAGGCCATCAGCAGGCTGAGGAGCAAGGAGAGCCAGTCCAGTTTCCAAAACTGAAGAACTTGGAGTCTGATGTTCAAGGACAGGAAGCATCCAGCACAGAAGGATGTAGGCTGGGAGGCTAGACCAGTCTCTTTTTTTCACATTTTTCTGCCTGCTTATATTCTAGCCACTCTGGCAGCTGATGAGATTGTGCCCACCCAGATTAGGGGTGTATCTGCCTTTCTCAGTTTACTGACTGAGATGATAATCTCTTTGGCAACACCCTCAGACTTATCTAGGATCAATACTTGGTATCCTTCAGTCCAATCAAGTTGACGCTTAGTATTAACTAACCATCACAAGGATTGATCTCTGACTTGTGATTTCTGCACTGGAAAAAGTAAGATCATGGTAGGCAACTAGTTTCCCTAACATGCTGGGTTCCCTGGCAGGAGATTCAACCCACAAGAAGTGTCATGAGTTCCTGAAGGGAGAAATACCTCTGAGTACAGCCTGGGACTACCATCCCTGGCCCTGGACACCCTGCCGTATAACTCAACCAAAGGAAACACCAAATCAGAGTGGCTGTTCAGCAGCACCACACTGTAGGAGATACATGGTACTGCTCCCTGGGCACAAACCCTTAGCCACACTGCCAGGGTATCCCCTTTGGGGCCTCCCCATTCAGGATGGGCAGCACTTTGATCATTTACTAGAGCCAGGTGAAGCTGCCCTTAAGGTACCACCTAGAGCCAAAAAGGAGGCAGCAACCTAGTGATAAAGGATCTCTGGCAGGGCATGGCGGCTCATGCCTGTAATCCCAGCACTTTGGGAGACCAAGACAGGAAGATCACTTGAGGTCAGGAGTTCGAGAGCAGCCTGATCAACATGGTGGAACCCCATCGCTACTAAAAATACAAAAATTAGCTAGGCGTGGTGGCGGGCACCGGTAATCCCAGCTACTTGGGAAGCTGAGTCAGGAGACTCACTTGAACCTGGGAAGTGAAGGTTGTGGTGCACCAACATCAAGCAACTACACTCTAGCCTGGGTGGCAGAGCAAGACTCTGTCTCAAAAAGGAAAAAAAAAAGGTTCTCTAAGAAAATATATCCAGTGAAAAGCAAAGCAAGCCTTCAGTGCACATACATCCACATGAAACAACAGCAAACAGGGAACCATGACCTACCTACAGGGACAAGCAAGGAATCAGTAACTGGCCCTAATGAGATGGCAAGATATGAGCTGTCTGGCCAAAAATTCAAAATAGCAGCCTTAAAGAAATTCAGTGATTTCCAAGATAACACAGAAAAGCAGTTTAGAAATTTATTAGAGAAATTTAACAAAGATTGAAATATTTTTTTAAAATCAAACAGAAGTCTTGAAGATCATTTGTTGAACTGAAAATTTTATTAGATGCATTCAACAACAGAATGAATCAAGCAGAGGAAAGAATCAGTGAACATGAAGACAGACTATTTGAAAATACACAGTCTGAGGAGAAAAAGAATGAAAAGGAACAAAGACTGCTTACAAGTTATAGAATATTACCCAAAAGACCAAAACTAAGAATGACTTGTGTTCAAGAAGGAGTTGAGCACGAGCAAGGAGTAGGAAGCTTGTTTTAAGAAGTGCTAACAGAAACCTTTCCAAAACTTGAGAAAGAGATAGATATTCAGGTACTGGAAGGTCAGAGAATACTGAACAGATTCACCCCAAATAACACCCCATAGAATAATCAAGCTCTCAAAGGTCAAGGACAAGAAAAGAATCCCAAAAGCAGCAAGAGAAGAGAAGCAAACAGTATACATGAAGGAGCTCCAGTCCATCTGGCAGCAGACTTCTCGACGGAAACGGTACAGGCCAGGAGGGAGTGGAATGACCAAGAGGGACTGGGATGACATTTTCAAAGTGCTGAAAGAAAAAAAAAATTCATCTAAGAATATTGTATCCAGCAAAGTTATCCCTCAAATATGAAGGAGAGATGAGCAAATTCAGCACCCTCATGCCCATCTTAAAAGAAATGTTAAAGGGAATTCTTCAGCCTGAACAACAACAAAAAAAAAAAAAAAAAGAAAAAAACACTAATGTGCCAAAAGAAAACATTTGAAGGTATGAAACTCACTGGTTTAATTAAGTACACAGACAAAGCTTAATGTGGTATGCAGTCTACTCATAATTCTATGAAACCCAACAGACAACTATCAAAAACAATAATGGCTGCAGCAACCTGCTAAGAGCTAGGTAATATAAAAACATGTGCAATGAGACAACTAAAAGTTAGTATGCGGGGGATGGAGTTCAAGTATAGAATTTTTTTTTTCTTTGCTTCATTCTTTGTGATCTAAGATAAGTTGTCATCTCTGCTAACAACTTGTTATATAAGATGTTTTTATGTAAGCCTCATGGTAACCACAATGCAAAAATCTATAATAGATTCACCAAAGATTAAAAGCAACAAACCAAAAAATACTATGAAACAAAGTCTCTCAACACAAAGAAAGACAATAAAGAAGGAGGGCGATACAAAACAATTAGAAAATAAGCAACAGAATGCTAGTAGTAAGTCTTTGGTTTATCAGTAAGAACACTGAATGGAAGAGGACTTGGTTCTCCAATTAAAAGGCATAGAATAGCTGCTGGGATAAAGAAATAAAACCCAACCATATGCTTCTACAAGAAACCCATTTCATCTACAAAGACACACATAAACTGAAAGTATAGGGATGGAAAAAGATTTTCCATGCAACTAGAAACCAAAAAAGAGCTTGAGTATACTTACATCAGATAAATTACAAAACAAAGACTGTAAAAAGAAACATGGTCACCCTATAATAATAAAGTAATAATTCAGCAAGCGGTTATAACAAAGATAAATATCTATGCACCCAACACCAGAGCTCCCAGGTGTATAAAGCAAGCACAAATAGATCTAAAGGGAGAAATAGACTGCAGTACAATAATATTAGGAGATTTTAACACCCCATTCTCAGTAATAACTAAATCATCCAAACAGAAAATCAGGGAAAAAAGAAAGAAAGAAAAGAAAAGAAAATCAGCGTTAAACTTCACACTAGACCTATTAGGACTAACTGATATTTATAGAACATTTTATCCATCTTCTGCAGAATACACATTTTTTTCCTTCAGCACATGGAACATTCTTCAGAATAGACCATATCTTAGGCCACAAAACAAGTCTGAACAAATTTTTAAAAAGAGGAATCATATCAAGTTTCGTTGCTGACCACAAGGAAGTAAAACTAGACATCAATAATAAGAGGAACCTTGGAAGCTCCAAAACTATGTAGAAATTAACATACTCCTGAATGATCAGCAAGTCACTGAATAAAAAGGAAATATTTGTATTATTTTTGTAAATGTATAGATAGGATCGTACACCCATCTATTCCAGTTAACAGCCCTACTTTGCAGTTACTTTTTTATGCTTTGTCAAACATCTTTGTAATTATCTGACAATGCAATTTTAATCAATTTAATATTGATAAATTGTATCTATTTCCAACACCATTTTAATCAAGTCACTGATAATCAGGAAACATTAAGACAAATGCTATTATACCACCCAGGAATTGCTTTTGGAATGGCAGTTCCTGTATGCTTTAAGAAATATTTCTAGGCCAGGCGTGGTGGCTCAAGCCTGTAATCCCAGCACTTTGGGAGGCTGAGGCGGGTGGCTCACAAGGTCAAGATATCGAGACCATCCCGGTCAACATGGTGAAACTCCGTCTCTACTAAAGATACAAAAAATTAGCTGGGCATGGTGGCACGTGCCTGTAATCCCAGCTACTCAGGAGGCTGAGGCAGGAGAATTGCCTGAACCCAGCAGGCAGAGGTTGCGGTGAGCCGAGATCGTGCCATTGCACTCCAGCCTGGGTAACAAGAGCGAAACTCTGTCTCAAAAAAAAAAAAAAAAAGAAAAGAAAAGAAATATTTCTAAATTCTAGAAGTCTTTTCTATCTCTGTTAGCCTGGACAGCCTGATGCTCTAGAGCTTCAGAGACAACGGGAGGCTAAGAAGAGGGCTCTTGCCAGAAAACGAGCCCAAGAGCAGCTCAGACCACAAACACCTGAACCCGTGGAAGGCAGAAAGCATGTCGATGTGCAAACAGGTGTGTGACTGTGCTGTTGGCATTATGTCCTCCCAGTTTACTCAGTTGTCTATGTCAGTTCATTTTTATTGGGCCTTTGCATTATTTACGCATCTCCTGTGCTGATACTTCCCCAATTACATGGTAGGGAAGTTCATTTATTAAAGAAATGCATAGACTAGGCTGGGTGTGTTGGCTTATGCCTGTAATTTCAGCACTTGGGGAGGTCAAAGCGGGCAGATCGCCTGAGGTCAGGAATTCAAGACCAGCCTGGTCAATGTGGTGAAACCTTGCCTCTACTAAAAATACAAAAATTAGCTGGGCGTGGTGGCAGGCGCCTGTAGTCCCAGGCTTCGGGAGGCTGAGGCAGGAGAATTGCTTAAACCCAGGAGGCGGAGATTGCAGTGAGCCAAGATTGCGCCACTGCACTCCAGCCTGGCACTTGGCGACAGAGCAAGACTGTCTCAAAAAAAAAAAATACAAAAATTAACCAGGCGTGGTGACCAGTGCCTATAATCCCAGCTACTCGGGAGTCTGAGGCAAGAGAATCACTTGAACCTGGGAGATGGACGTTGCAGTGAGCCAATACTGCACCATTGCACTCCAGCCTGGGCGACAAGAGCAAAAGAGCAAAACTCCATCTCAAAAAAAAAAAAAAAAGAAAGAAATACATAGACTACTTACTATTATAATAGTGGATATGGCTGGAAGTGTGGAATGGGCTTTAAAAAAAGAATTTTGGCCAAGCACAGTGACTCACACCTGTAATGCCAGCGCTTTGGGAGGCAAGGCAGGAGGATCACTTGATCCCAGGAGTTCGAGACCAGCCAGGCAACATACCAAGACCCCATCACTACAAAAAAATGTTTAAATTAGTTGAGTGTGGTGGTGCATGCTGTAGTTCCATCTACTCAGTAGGCAAAGGCACAGGAGGATCATATGTGCCCAGGATTTCAAGGCTGCAGTGAGCTATGATCACAGCACTGCACTCAGCCTGGGCAACAGAGGTTGCCTATCTCTAAAAAATAAAGAAATAAAAGAATTTTATGACCAAACAAATTCTGTCTTAGCCCTTTTCACATGTTCTATTCTCGAACTGGGATTCTTTCTCATAGTCCAACATGATCACTGTTCTTTTCATCAGGACTTACAGGGAAGGACAGCAGTATAGTCCTATTTTGTCATTTTATTTATCTTTTGAGAGGAATAAACCCACTCCCACCTGAGTCCTCTGCCTCTCACACCAGCCTTGTCTGTCCTTTTGTTATGTGGCTTTGCACACTCCCCAGGGCCACACAGGAACTCCTGAGGCAGGTGCCAGGATTTTTGTACTCGTCTGTCTGTTCTCAGCTGTAAAGGCTTACCTGGTCCTATAGGGTCTAGCTGTGTTGTTGACAGAATCTTGGTCATCAGATAGTGCTTGGTGTTTAACTTGGACCACTGTCACTACTCAGGTTCACCTTGTACCCTGCCAAGATAGTGAGTGGATTCATCAGGATTATTTCTGCATCTAAAGGCAAAAGGAACCATTCCATGCTTTAACCCCTGCCTTTAGGCCAAGACTAGCATGCATGTCTGTCTTTGGCCAAAGAGCTAAGTTTTCATGTTTCTTCATACCATCAAGATAGTAAGTGATATAATAGCAGCCAGATTTTTTGAATATTTCCTCAGAGACTGAACCAGGTCCTTTGTTCTGTGTATTTCCTTCGTTATTACAAAGATTCTGTGTGACAGGTAGTTATGGCCCCTTTTACAGGTGAAGAAACTGAGGCTCAGAGAGGACATGACTTAGCCAAGTCCTATGCCCAACATCTGACTCTAGTGCTCATGTTCTTGGATGCCACATTGCCCCTGCCCCATATAAATTACCCCTAACATGAAATTTGTTTTCATACATCTGTTTATAATTGTAGCGTAGAGGGAACATCAAATAACCTGGTAACTTGGTACATGATTTTTTTAAATATCCAGGAATTTTCAAATCTTCATGTGTTTACTATATCTTAGGATTCAAATGTATGTATGTATTATTGAGCTTTGTCCCCATTGTGCTCCGCATCTTATACACATCTACAGTCTCATATTCTTCTTTAGTTCTGTTTTCAAATACAAAGCTCAGTGCTTTCTAGACATTCGGTAAATATTATAGCCTGAGTGACTCTATCTATCGTCTTCCAAATATGAAAAAACCCTTAGTTCAATATGTGAAGTAAACCCCACATTTGAGCACTTTCATTCTGATACTGAGCTAAAATTCCAAATACACATATATGCTTGAAATATACCAGAATTATATTTTCTTTGAGACAGAGTCTTACTCTGTCACCCAGGCTGCTGTACAGTGGCGCACTCTTGGCTCACTACAACCTCCACCTACCAGGTTCAAGCAATTCTCCCACCTCAACCTCCCAAGTGGCTGGGACCACAGGTACACACCATCACACCCAGCTAATTTTTGTATTTTTTGTAGAGATAGGGTTTCACCATGTCAGCCAGGCTGGTCTCAAACTCCTGGCCTCAAGTAATCCACCCTCTTTGGCCTCCCCAAATGCTGGGATTATGGGCGTGAACTACTGTAACCAGCCTTAGACCAGAATTTTAAACTCAATGTATATGATATTCTTCTTAGAATTATACCTTGAAGAAATTGCTGATCGCATAATAGAAGTTGATATGGGATGCCAAACAGATGCATTTTTGGACAGACCACCAACACCACTCTTCATTCCTGCCAAAACTGGCAAAGATGTGGCCACCCAAATACCAGAAGGAGAGGTAAAGTACGTTCTGTGGGCTTCCCTCTATTATCTTTATAAATGAGGTAAAGTAAGGTGTAGATAATGCTTAATATGAGTAACAATCATGTCACAATTGGATTCTACTTCTTGGATTTCTTTCCAGATACTATCTATAATGGTTTTATCATATAGTACTCAGAAATGTTTTAAAATACCATGTTCGGATTTCTTTGCTGATTAGAAGCCAAATCATTTAAAAATCTTTTTAGAATATTTCCACATTTGATCTTTGTTTGTTTATATGCTTGCCTGATTTATGTATATAAGATAGATTTGTACTAAATAAGGAAAAATAATATCCCTGGTATAAAGGTTCCACAATTAGTTGCTTGTGGATTATATAACTTTTGTGAAGATACTCTCTTGTTTAAAAAAAATTTTTTAATAATTATATTTTTCTGTCAGTGTGAAATGCATAAATAGGCCTGTTTATGAAATTGAAGAAGAGAAGGCAATGATTATGTTCACAATGACCTAAATGAGTTTTAAGACTTGGTGGGAACTTGAAAGAACTGTCACTGAAATTGGGAAATAAATGTTCGGAAGCTACATGAAAGTTGTATTTGCCTGTAAATCCTAGCAATGAATCTCCAAAATGACTGTTATTCTTTTTCCTTCATTCATCAAGCTATTATTATAAGCAGCCAATGAATATCAAACAGAAAAGGGAAAGAATGACAGACAAGGATATTTCTCTTCGGTGTCAGGGTTCATTTTGATGAATGCAGAGATTTTTTTCATAAACTTTGATTTAACAGTTTTTGCCTGTAAACAAAATGTTGTTCATTTTGAGGATTAGAAACCACAAATAAAGGCCGGGCGCAGTGGCTCACGCCTGTAATCCTAGCACTTTGGGAGGCCGAGGTGGGTGGATCACCTGAGGTCAGGAGTTCAAGACCAGCCTGGCCATCAGGGTGAAACCCCATCTTTATTTAAAAAAAATAAAAAAGAAGAAAGAAACCACAAATAAAGCACAAACACAGAGTCTGGCACACAGGAGACACTTAATAAATAATATCTCATTATTGCTAGTCATTATATTTTTGTTGAGCATTTGATTCATAATTAAAATTTTAAGTTTGCTTTATTTTGTATGTCTAAGCTCTTCGACTTTGATCTTGAAGTTACACCGGTGTTAGAAGTTTTGGTGGGGAAAACAATTGAGCAGTCTCTTCTGGAAGTCATGGAAGAAGAAGAGTTGGCTAACCTGCGGACCAGTCAGCGCGAGTATGAAGAACTACGGAATAGTGAACGAGCCGAAGTTCAACGACTTGAAGAGCAAGAGAGGCGGCACCGAGAAGAAAAAGTATATATCATTATATTTTTATTTCTTAGGCAGTCGTTTGGCTAATTCGCATATTATTTTCAAAATTACATGTAATGATATCTCATAAAGCTAAAGATCTTTGGGAATATATTAGAAAAAGATCTATAGTTTTTGCTCAGATCTCTCCTATGGATCATAGATCTTTCATGGACCAAATTACATCTTTTAAACTCCAGTTTACATAAACGTACCTAAATTGAGTTTCCAAAAGTTTTGAAATGAAGTGAAAGTTCCAAGGTTACATGTGTCCCAGTTGGAAGGCTCTCTTAAATATCAGAGTCCTAGAGAAAGAAATACATAAGTTGGTTTGCCATAAGTCAGTGGCAGAAAGATGAAAGGAAGGAAAAAGTAAGTGTATTGAAGAGAGCCTGTGGGTAAGAAGCAGGGGATCTGGATAGAATTCTGATTCTTTTTCTCCGTGACCAGGCCCTTCTTTATACCCTTAGGACACACCAGACCTATTTGGGTTTTTATAGAATATTTTTCAGATTAAGAGTTTTAGAATCTTCAATAAGGACAGGTTTACAGTCCAGTTTTTCAAAATGTGCCACTAGCCTACAGTTAGGAAGCACTAGAAAAGACAACCTCTCTGGTTCTGGCAATAACTGTCAGCCTTTGTCATATACCAGTGAACAAATTATAAAGTAGTACCTTAATACCTGAAACAGTTAAAATAATTTCCCAAAGGGCTTAACTTACGTACTATGAAAAATAGCGTAATTGTTGGGAAATCCTACTGAATACCTATCAAATGGACTTTAATTCCAAGATTAATACTTAATTGTGTAAAGAACATAGGGCTTACAATAAGGATTGTGCAAATTAAGACTTTGTTTACAAATATAAAATAAACCGTGGCAAAATAAGCTTTGTTGAAATGAGTCATGAGATCTTTATCAAAAAATATTTGTTTATTTACTATTTGGAAATATGTCATGGAAACTGGATATAAGAGTCACCTCTTATATTTGTTTGAACTTTGAAAATAGATTTAATTAGAAAATATATTAATGCTCTCATTTCCACATGAGAGTAGAGTAGAGGATTCATTAGCTTTGTAAATATTACATGGTCTAAAGGAAGCAGCAACAAAAAATAAGAGGCTTGCTTTTTTTTTTTTTTTTTTTTTTGAGACAGAGTTTCTCTTGTTGTCCGGGGTGGAGTGCAATGCCATGCAGTCTCAGCTCACTGCAGCCTCCACCTCCCAGGTTCAAGCAGTTCTCCTGCCTCAGCCTCCCGAATAGCTGGGATTACAGTCACGCACCACCATGCCTGGCTAGTTTTGTGTTTTTAGTAGAGACAGGGTTTCTCCATGTTAGTCAGGCTGGTCTCAAACTCCCAACCTCGGATGATCCTCCCGCCTTGGCCTCCCAAAGTGCTGGGATTATAGGTGTGAGCCACTGTGCCCAGCAACAAAAAATAAGAGGCTTTCATAATCTTCAGAACCCTTCAGCTTTACAAATTCAGTGAATTATTACAAATGAACTCATTCATTGGCCTGAGTTCTCTCATTGAAGATTTCTAAGCAATTGTAATTTTTCTTACCAAATATTTCATGATAATATTAATTTAAAATGCATATAATGGTGATTATCTCTTTGCTGCCATCTGTACAGTCAGGCATGAATGTCTTGAAATTATTTTACTTGAAAATTAATAGTGAGATGTTTTACCTTAAGCTCCATCTTTTTAACTTTCTGAATTGAGTACCCACTTGCTATTGAAATTCGTTAAAATTTTGATGAAAAATATGAACCTTTAATAGACACTTTGCTGTCCATTTTCTTATAAGTCCACGTTCTTAGATTCAGTACATGGGGAGGGCATACGAGCTAAATAACCACCTATGTTGTTCTTGACAGGAACGGCGTAAGAAACAGCAGTGGGAAATAGTGCATAAGCACAACGAGACATCACAGAAAATTGCTGCCCAAGCATTTGCACAGCGTTACCTGGCTGACCTTCTCCCATCTGTTTTTGGCAGCCTCAGGGATAGTGGCTACTTTTATGATCCCATTGAAAGAGGTTTGTAGATATTTTTGTTAGATTAATTTTGTTGTAATAAGCATCCTCTTAATGGTTCAACTTTATCTTCTGTCCATTTTTATTTTGAATTGGAATCTTTCTATTTCTAACACAAAGTCAGTTTTAGTTGTTTTTTTAAAGTAAGTACAGTCATCAATGAGATGTGTATTCCAAAGATCTTGATTTAAGGACATTAATGTTCGTTTATCGAGAAGCAATGTTTGTATAGTAGAAAGAAATATGGACTTGGTATTGAAAACTCGAGTTTGGGATGCAGCTTTATCATTAACTAACTTGATGACCTCCAGTTTCCTCATGTGTGAAATGAGGATTTTTTTTTTTTTTTTTTGAGAAAGAGTCTCATTCTTTTGCCCCCACTGGAGTGTGGTAGTACGATCATGGCTCACTGCAATCTCTGCCTTTCAAGTTCAAGCAATTCTCCCTGCTTCAGCCTTACAAGTAGCTGGAATTACAGGCACCTGCCACCATGCCCAGCTAATTTTTGTATTTTTTAGGAGAGACAGCGTTTCAGCATGTTGGCCAGGCTGGTCCTGGCCTCAAGTGATCCACCTGCCTCCGCCTCCCAAAGTGCTGGGATTACAGCCTGAGCAACCAAGCCCAGCCTGAAATGAGGATTATTTAGGAGTTAAGCCATAAAATATACGGAACTGTGTAAACTATAAAGTCCTATATGTATAAGTGGTTGTTATTAACTTTTTCTCAGCTGACTTCTTATTCCAAGCAAAAATCTTTTGAGGGCACCTATCAAGGTCATTTATTCATTTAATTAGGCGCTTACCCTGTTCCAGGCAGTGTTTGGTGTTGGATAAAAAGAAGGATCCCTGCTCTCTGCCATTAGGGAGCCCATAGCCTGATAGCTGTCTGTCTGTATCCCCTCAACGCCTGTATTCCTAGCTGCTTAGCCAATGGAAGGGAGGAGTTGCATGTCTTCACCACCACCCAGCTTCCTCAGGGTGAAAGCACTTACATGCACCGTGCTTGATGTAAGGTCCTATTTTGTTGGTCAATGGTATTTTGGGGCACATGTTAGTAGTGTTAATTTTAATGATTACATATTCAATTCAATACAGAGAGATCAGCTTACAGACAAATATTATTAGTTTACATTTATATCTTCCTTCCCAGTTGACATAGTATTTTTCATAGGTGATATTATTTGATAATCCCAATAACCCTGTAGGATAGGCAGGTCAGATATAATTCCCATTTTTTCAGAAATAGAAACTGAAACTCAGAGAAATTAAATGCCTTGCTCCCAAATCCTCATGCAGTGGAAATATTAGACCTCAAACGGACTTGGAACTCAGACTCCAAGTTCCAGTGTTCATTCTCTGCTACCATCCTGCCGTCCTGTGCTCTAGCTTGGAGTCTGTTAGCCAGAGACCAGTAATCTTTTTTCTATCACAGATTGCCCAAAAAAAAGTCAGTTATAGATCATTTAAAATCTTGCAAATGAAATTCATGCCTGAGATTAAAATTATTATTTATCATAGTGAATATAATACTCTATCACACTCTCCATTTCATCCTATTGAAAAATAAAATTAGATGTCTACCCCCCAAAAAATACTATTTTGAAACTTTAAAATGTATATTGTAATAGACCATAGTTTTTAAATGCTTACACAGATTTCAGTTTGAACAACTTAATACTGATGGAAACGCCCAGTTTCTGACCTATTTCTAGATGGCTGTCTCCTCAGATGCCCTCTCACCTGCAGTCTCTGACTCTGATGAGCTTCTTTCCATTAGGCCCTGGGCTTCAGGTGGAAACTTTCTCTCTTACTGGCATTGCTCAATCTCAGATTTGCATTGCATTTGGATTGGAGTTCTCCCAAACCCACATCCTCCCCCTGCCTCCCTGATCTATCTAGATTGCACCTATGAAGTAGACTCCAAATGCCTTGATGCCAAGGAAGGCCTCATAGTTGTTAAAATATTACTTATGCAATAGAAAGGAAACTGACCAGAACATACATAAGGAAGACGACAAAAGTTATGCTGTATGAGTCTATTTAACATTTTATATTATGAAACCAATGTTGATGAGTCTATTACATTAGGAGAAGAGCGCATTATTCCTCTGATGATTCATAAAAATCAATGAATTCTTTTATTACAGATATTGAGATAGGATTTCTTCCATGGCTAATGAATGAAGTTGAAAAAACCATGGAATATAGCATGGTGGGAAGAACAGTGCTTGACAGTAAGTTAATTATCCAAAAGTCATCTCTCAAATTTTTAGTAGAAAGAACATATTGAATAAATTGAAAGAAAGATTAATTTTCAGTTGTAATGTTTAAACTTTTAGTATATCAGTAGTATTAATAAAAGTGCAAATTTTTATCCTCAATATTATTTTTGGCTCTTCTATAATTTGATATCTATTAATATCTTCTGTCATTACTTTATAAATCATATTCTGTTAAAACAGAGTATAATTCATGCTTAATACATTAAGTGTGAAGTTAAGTATGCTGACTTGAGGCTTCATGAAGGTTTTATAATCATCTTTAAGTCAGCATTATAACTCCTAAAATATACCATAGTATGAAAGTCATAGTGATGTTTGGACATTTAAATTTTCAGTGTTGATCCGTGAGGTGGTTGAAAAGAGACTGTATATGTATAAGCATCAGAAAGACTCACATCCGTCTCCAGAACCCGAGGATGAGCCTGGTGGTCCCGAAGCAATGAGAGAGTCACTGAGGGCTTCTGAATTCCTGGAGCAGAGCATGTCACAGACACAGAGGCTGCTTTTAGACAGAGACGACCTACAAAGAACAACATATGACTTAAGTTCATCCCAGGAAAGGAAGTTTATGGAAGAGAGCGAGCTCTTAGGGCAGGATGAAGAAACAGCCAGGAGGGAGTCCTTAGGGAAGGAAGAATTGTCATAGGAGGGGAGCTTTGAAGTCATGAAACCAATCAACAGCCAAGTCAGCAAGCAATCAGGTAAAGATGCATGAGTCCCCTCAGGTTATAGAATTTATGTTGTATTCGGTCCATATGTCTTTTTGTCTAATGGACTGGGCCAATCAAATGTCATAAAATAAAACTACTTCGAAAATGAAACCTAAATTGAATTCATTTACTTAATAGAATATTCAAAGGCTATATTGTAATTCTAATGAGAATTATATTTAATTACTAATCTTCTGTCACCATTATTTATAACCAGAAAATACATTTTTTCTTAATCCTTCTAATTTTGCAGGTTAGTTATTTTAGTGAGTGTGATATTTGATGTTCAGTATCAGTGCTGTCGGCCATGTAGCATTTCTTCTCTATAGGAAAACCATTTCACCTACCATAAGGAGAATGTTGAAAGCCACAGCACTCCCTTCCTGCAAGGACCATCTTCAGTATTCGAGTAAGGCTTAAGGAATTCAGTGGGTTAGTAATATGCTCTCATCTTTTATTTCGCATTCCTGATATTAAAAATGTCAGGCAGTACCAACAAAGCAGAAGTCCCTGTTTGCCCTACACAGTCTTACTCCCTTCCTCAAAGGCAGATCACTGTTCTCAGTTAGGTGTGAACCATCTAGGCCTTTTTTGAGGTATTGCTATACACATATATTTGAAAATCTGGAAATATATAACTCGATTTTCTTTATATAAATGTAAACATTATTTGCATATTTTATTTTTCACTTAGAATATCTTAGATCTTTTAAGGTTAGTATGCATCATACTCTTATCTTTTTAAAATATGGTTAAGATGTTACATGTTATGACTGCTGTAGCATAGGGAATTAACAGTTGACTTTTTTTTTTTTTTGAGACAGTCTTGCTCTGTTGCTAGGCTGGAGTGCAGTGGCGAGATCTCAGCTCACTGCAATCTCCGCCTCCTGGGTTCAAGTGATTCTCCTCCCTCGGCCTCCCAGATAGCTGGGATTACAGGCGAGCACTACCACATCCAGCTAATTTTTGTATTTTTAGTAGAGACAGGGTTTCATCATGTTGGTCTCAATCTCCTGACCTCATGATCTGCCTGCCTCAGCCTCCCAAAGTGCTGGGATTACAGGCATGAGCCACCATACCTGGCCAACATTTGACTTCTTAATCTGAATGTATTAGAGAATTTACCTGCAATATTGAAAATCACAGATTATTTTCTCTCCAAAGCCTTAATCTTAAGCAATAACTAAAGTCTTCAGAGCCTTTAGATAGGTAAAGGCTATTTTTCTTTTTACTTATTTTTATTTTTATTTTTTCGAGATAAGGTCTCACTCTGACACCCAGGCCAGAGTACAGTAGCACCATCACAGCTCACTGCAGCCTTGACCTCCTGGGCTCAGGTGATCTTCTCACATCAGCCTCCCAAGTAGCTGGGACTACAGGCATGCACTCTACCACACCTGGCTAATTTTTGTATTTTTTGTAGAGATAGGGTCTTGCTGTGTTGCCTAGGCTGGTCTCAAACTCCTGGGCTCAAGCGATCTGCCCGCCTTGGCCTCCCAAAGTGCTAGGATTAGGGGCATGAGCCACTGCATCTGGCTGGGCCTATTTTTCTCAGAATACTTACAAATATATAAACTGTAGTGATTTAAAATAACTTATAATTACTAATCCATTTACCTTAAGTTAGGTACCAAGAATGTATCCACATTTTTAAAATCTTAAAAGAATACACCCATTTTCCCATCCAGTATTTCACTCTATCATTTAAGCCTCATGACAGCCTTCTGAGGCAGGCATGACGATATTTGTATTTTTTAGTTTCTAATCCTTAATTCGGTCAGCCAGCAACCATTAGCTGAATGCCTGCTCTGTGTTGGAAAGGAGCTGCAGATACAGTGGTGCACAGTCATGAATGCTACATGGTTTTTACAGCCTAGCAGTGGAGCTAAGTGAAGTGAAGATAAATAGAGAAACCAAACAAGCTCAGGGATTTTAACTGATTTGCAATAAGTGACAAGCCTAATAGGTAATAGGACTAAAGCTGGAACCCAAATTTCTTTACTTCTAATCTAGTATACTTTATTCTAATAACCTGATGTCTTTGTGAAGTACAAAGAATAATTTAAAATAAATTATTGCATTAACAGCATTTTAAAAATTGGAATCACACCTGTTATCCATCACTGGGCTGCTTCCATTTTGTTAAACAGTCTATGATCATTCTAAAATTTATAAAGTATTAATTTTGGCAAGAAGACCAAAAATTTTTAATTAGGGCTATTGCTGATTATTATTATTACCAATTTTAAAATATCTACAACCAGTTTTTAGTAACCTTAAAATTGATTTGAGGTTGATTATCTTTCATAATCTCTAATTCTCCTTTAGAATAATCTAGTTCATTACATACTTTGCAATGTTTAAATTAATTCAATTTATTAAAAGAAGTGGATATCTATAGACCCCACATTGTATTGTTAAGCTTAATTGCAGTCCTTGTCCATCCTAGAAAGAAACCAAAATAATTGAGAGGTTAGGGCATTACGCTGTGAGAAAGCTTAGAGATAACACATTATATATTATCTGGAGAAAAAAAATGTTAAATGGAAACAAGGTTTGTGAAGAATTTCTTCAAGTACCTGAAGGATTTTATGGGAAATTACAAGATGGCATGCTTAGGTTCTGTATGTCTGGAAGGCTTCATAACTGTAAGCAACTTTTGCAAATGGTTTGGGAACGTAAAACTCTTCCAGGATAGAAGAAAATGGGTACTGTTAACATTTGGATAATTATTGGACCATCATAACATTTTGCTATAATATGCAAAATGCTGCTTCCCCAACTATGACCCTCATTATGACTTTTAAAGGAATTATAAGCTCCAAATAATTTTTGGAGTATAAAAAGTACTTGACTTTTGCACACATTTGCTAATACCCTTCTCATGAGTTTTCTTTCTGATGTTTCAACTAACACGAAGCTAACGGAAGCTAAATAATAATAAAACAAAGAACAGATGTTAAATGTATTGAAATTGTCATTCCTGGCCAGGCTCTGTGGCTCATACCTGTAATCCCAACAAGGTAGGAGGATCACGAGGTCAGGAGATCAAGACCATTCTGGCCAACATGGTGAAACCCTGTCTCTACTAAAAATAAAAATTAGCTGGGTATGGTGGTGCATGCCTGTAATCCCAGCTACTTGGGAGGCTGAGACAGGAGAATCACTTGAACCCAGGAGGTGGGGGAGGTTGCAGTGAGCCAACATCACGCCACTGCACTCCAACCCGGTGCTTGGCAAGACTCTGTCTCAAAAAAATTCCCATATCACTAAAATAGATCAGAGAGGTAGAATGTAATTTTCTCTCTTAAATACAATGATGCATCATTGCATTTAAGCCATCTGAGGGGTATTAGCGTGGCCTGGGAAGTCACTCTGAGCAACACAAGGTAGAGTTTGAAAGCACAGATTCAAAGCCTGGGCTTGAGTCCTCACATGTAAGCATATGGGTTTTGCCTTTCTCAAAGCTTTTTTTTTTTTAATTAGGAAAAAGAACTGATTTATCAGTCTTGTGTTTCATTTTCAAAACACAGGGGTGGGTGGGAAACTTGCAGAAGAAACAAGTATTTGGAGCTTATAATTCGTTTAAAAGTCATAATGGGGGTCATAGTTGGGGAAGCAACATTTTCCATATTATATCAAAACATTATGATACCATAACCATCCAAATGTTAATGGTACCAATTTCTTCTATCCTAGAAACGTTTCATTTTATGTTATTAGAACATATCAACCATATCAGCTAGATTTTTTTTCTATACTTTACCGACTATGGAAAATTTGACACATTCTGCTTTACTCCTTTGGTTATAGGTCAGTCGCAGAACTTTTTTTATGTATTCTGTAATTCAATAGCCGTGGCTCTTTACTTCATTTAGTTTACTTAGCATAAAGGCATTATGAAAAGGCCAAACATGAGCTTAACTTCCCGCTAACTAATTAGCATATGTTATTTCTTAACCATAATGCCTGGGTCTAACCAGAACCGACCTTCTCCAATCTTGTTCACAGTCAGAGACGTAAAAAAGAATATTATAAATGGGGTGTCACTATTGTGAAAGTCATGCTAATGGTGTTGAATTGGTGCCTATGATTCTCCTTTTGAATTAGATCATATGTTACATGATCGCAACTTACATTATTAAAATTTAATGAAATTATGATTTAGATGAAGTTTTTCTGTTTTTTTATAAGTGAGAGAATAACATAACTGAAAGATACGAATTAAAAGATAAGCTAATATCATTATAGGCTTGCTTATAATCAAGTGTTAAAGAGTTTGAAATTTCAGAAGAAAAATATTTAAAACATAAGATGTTATTTAAGCAATTTTAACTACTTTTTGAAAAGAGAGTTCAAAATGAATGAATTTTTACCACTATATTCATTTATGATTTTTATAAAAATGAGCTTTTATGATAACTCTGTTGTTTTTTAACATTTTAGATTATAACCACTAGGTGTCAGTAAAACCCCAAGGTAAGGTTAACTTGCTGCCAACTTCATACATCATTACATGACCATAAAAGACCTTGGTGAGCACAGTTCAAAAATGTATTGTATTCCTTGGAGTCTTCTGGACTCTGAATGAATATTTTATCTCACTCTGAAGTTATCTGCCAGCTCTGTAGGGGTTCCAGACTGTTAAAAATGTTCATTTTAGAGTGGACCTTAGTTGTCTTCCCTATCTGATTCAGGATCCTTAACAGATGGTCAATTAGTCTTTGTTTCATCACTTTAAGGAGGAGGTTTTCACTTTATGAGCTGCTCTGGATAGCCATTCTGCCTTATTTGGTTTTGTCTCCACAAGCCTGGGCTATGGTAAATGCTTAGTTAATAACTGTTGGACAGTTCTCATTATTAGAAATTTCATTCATACTGATTCAAAACTTGTCCCATTATAACCTTTGCTTATTGGTCATAATCATGGGGGCATGATTATGGTAGAGGGAGACAAAATAATCTTATTGGCATATCAGCCCTATCATGTACCCCAATAAATTTTTCTTCCCCTCCCAAGTTTCTTTTCTTCCAATGAGACTCACCACTCTTCCCAATTATTCCTCATATGGCAGTTTCAGAACTTCCCCATTCACTATCCTGGCTACTATTACCTTGAAATGCTTATTTGGTAAAAGTTCCTCTTAAAACATGTTTCCCAGAATTAGGTAGACAACTGTGGGTGTAATCTGACTCAGCAAGGATTATTGTAGGATTATTATCACCCATCACCAAATCACCTTCTCTAAACTCAAATGCCTAGAAATTATATCTTTCAGAACATCAGAGAAAAAAAGCCAAAATAAATTTTGAGCAGCCACAATGTCACGAAGTCTACACACTTTGCAGTGGACCCTCCAAGCCTATCCTAACATGTTGCTAGCCAACTAGCAACATTGTTATTTTTATTACAATTATTATTAACCCTGCAACATGTCAGAAGTCACATTAACCTGGGAAGAGGGACTGCTGTGGGTAAACTCATAGCACTAATATAAGAAATGGCAGGAAAAAATAGATAACTCAAAAAGTATAGCAGTCCAGAGCAAAAATTGAATACAATAGAGAAATTAATGTGTATGGAGGAAGCACCTCTGGAATGGTGGAATAAGGATCTCTGAAAATCTGTTCCTCCATAAAAGCAATGTGAATACAGCCAGAATTGCCTAAATCAGCACTTTCAGAACTCTAGAAATTAACCAAAGGCGTGCAATAATGAGGAATATTCATTAAAGAAAAATAATTGAATCTCAGTAAGAACAGTAAGCCTCATGACATTTTAACCTGCCCTGTTTCCATTCCACTCTTCCCAGCTCCACAATAGCCTTGAAAGCCAGTAACCAAGAAAACCAGAAGCCTAGGAGCTATTGAAAGGACCAGAAAGGCTTGGTGTCTCCCCACCTCCATCTTAAAACCTCATCTCCAGACGATTGTCACTACTTGGCCTCTGTGGCAACTCTGGAAAAGACCATTTACAGGGTGTGTCTATTTGATCTGACTCAGAGCTTGCTCAGTGACGAAAGTCCTAACACCAAGGCATTAAGAACAAAAAACAGCAGCAATTGTTTAACGTCACAGCTGCCTGAGGTAGAGCAAATAAGAAACTGGCAAAGAGAAATTGAAAATCTTGAGAATGCAGTGTTGATAAGGGGCTTTGAAAAGCTTTGACATTTGGCCAGGCACAGTGACCCACGCCTGTAATCCCAGCACTTTAGGAGGCCAAGGTGGGCAAATCACAAGGTCAGGAGTTTCAGATCAGCCTGGCCAACATAGCGAAACCCTGTCTTACGTCTCCACTAAAAATAAAAAACAAAAAAAAAATTAGCTGGGTGAATTGGCAGGCGCCTGTAATCCCAGCTACTCAGGAGTCTGAGGCAGGAGGATCTCTTGAACCCGAGAGGCGGAGGTTGCAGTGAGCTGAGATCATGTTACTCCATTCCAGCCTAGGCAACAGTGTAAGACTCTGTCTCGAAAAAAAAGAAAGGAAAAGCTTTGACATTCTTGGGAAACTGTATATAGGGTGCATTTGTAGGACTGCATGCTTGCCCAGAAAATATCTGAGAAGGCCCGAATCACTCACTTCTAACTGACCTTGAGGATCTGCACAACCAGGAATTGAAAGCTAAGACAGATTTATGAACTGCCAAAATGTTAAAGGCATGCCCGACACATGCAGAGCACCTCAACAAAGGGTGGAAAACTTAACTGGTACAGGGCATTTAAAAAAATCTCTAATCATTAGCTGATTGCTAATCTAACTGAGCAGAGACTTCAATGGCCACATGCAACAAAAAATACATATTTTACTAAATTTTTCCAGAGAAGTCATTTAAAAAAGAGTAACAAACAGCAACAAAAAAACCCAGGTTGGAGGGTTAGGACAAGAATATAACTTTCAGAGTTACTATATTATAATTATTTAAAGTGTTTAATTTTCAGCAAAAAAAAAAAAAATATATATATATATAAGGCAGGCAAACAATAGGAAAGTATGGCTTATGTCAAAGAAAAATGAAATCAATAAAACTGTTCCTGAGGAAGTCCAGATTTTTAACTTACTAGACAAAGGCTTTAATTGGCTATTATATGTTCAAAGAACTAAAGGAAACCATGTCTAAAGAATTAAACCAAGTATGAGAATGATGGCTCACCAAATGTGAATATCAGTTAAGAGAAAATACTTTTTAAGAACCAAATAGAAATTCTGGCCTTGAAAAATGCAATAATTGAAATGAAAAATTTACTTCAGGGCCTCAACAGCAGATTTGGTGTGGCAGAAGAAAATATCCATGAAATTGAAGTTAAGTCAATTGAGATAATCCACTCTCAGGAACGGAAAAATGAATGAAGAAAAATGAGCCTCAGAGACCTGGGGACACCATCAGGCATATCAACCTACACATAATAGGGACTCCAGAAGGAGAGGAGAGAAGAGAGAAAGGGGCAGGAAGAATATCAGAAGAGATCATGGCTTAAAAACTTACTAAATTTGATGAAAAGTGTTGATCTCATTCAAGAATTTCAGTGAACTCCACACGAGGAATTCAAGAGATCCACAACTAGACATATCCTAGTCAAACTGTCAAGAGGTAGAGGCAAATAGAATCTTGAAAGTAGCAAGACAAAAATGACTTTTCATGTACATGGGCTCCTCAATAACATTAGCAGCTGATTTCTCATCAGACATCATGAAGGCCAAAAGACAATGGGATCATACATTCAAGTCGCTAAAAGAAAAAACTGCCATTCAAGAATTCTGTATCCAGCAAAACTATCCTTTAAAATGAAGGAGAAATGAAGACATTCCCATATAATCAAAAACTGAGATAACTTGTCATTAGCACACCTGTCCTACAAGAAATACTAATGAGAGTCCTTCATACTGAAATGAAAGGATACTAGAAAGCAATTCAAATCCACATTGAGAAATATGGAGCCACAATAAAGACTGTATATATGTATATAAATGATAGTATAAATTTGCTTTTCTTTGTAATTCTTCTGACATTTAAAAGACAGTTACATCATAAAGCAATCATTATAAAGCTATATTAATGGGCTTCTAATGTGTAAAGATGTAGTTTGTAGGATATTAACAACACAAAGGAGAAGGAACAGAATAGTACTAGAGAAAACTTTTTGTATCTCTTGAAATTAGATTAGTATTAATCTGAAGTAGATTATGTTAAATTAAGATGTTAATTGTAATCCCCAGAGCAGCCACTAAGAAAGTATCTTTTAAAAAACAGTAAAAATAGCTGGCTGCAGTGGCTCACACCTGTAATCCCAACAATTTGGGAGGCTGAGGTGGGCAGATCACTTGAGGTCAGGAGTTCAAGACCAGCCTGGCCAACATGGTGGAACCTCATCTCTACTAAAAATACAAAAAATTAGCCAGGTATGGTGGTACATGCCTGTAATTGCAGCTATTCGGGAGGCTGAAGTAGGAGAATCACTTGAACCCAGGAGGTGGAGGTTGCAGTGAGCCAGAGTCATGCTACTGCACTCCAGCATGGGCAACAAAGCAAGACTCTGTCTCAAATATAAGTAAATAACAGTAAAAGAAACAAGAATATTACAATATTTTTCTGGAAGATACGCATGTAATACAAAAGAGCAATAATGGAGGAACAAAGATACAAAAAATATATAAGACATGTAAAAATCCAAATGGCAAAACAGTAAATTAAAATCCTAGCTTATCAGTTATTTAATCAAAAGTAAATGGCTTAAACATCCTACCCAGAAGACAAAGATTGTCAGAATGAGAGGTTTTTTTAAATGATCCAACCGTATTATTAGAGACACACTTTAGATTTAAAGACATAAACTAGTTGAAAATAAAAGGATGGACAAAGATATGGCATGTGAACAGTAACCAAAAAAGAGCTGGAGTAGCCATATTAATATCAGACAAATGGACTTCAAGACAAGAGATGAAGAAATGCGTTTTATGATAAAAAGGTCAATCCTTAAGGAAGACGTTAACAATTATAAACACATATGCACCTAACAGGGCTCCAAAATACATGAAGCAAAAAGTGATAGAATTAAATGGAGTATTAGACAATTCAAAACAATAGTTACATACTTCATAATCCCACTTTCAATAATGGCTAGACTAAGGAGAAGATCAGCAAAGAAAAAGAAAATGTGAACTACATTATCAACTA